CAGCCATTTAAATCACAACATATTATAAAAAATACTTTCATTTGGTTATTACTGGTTATTGTTTAGTAATAAAACAAGTTAACACAGAAGCTTCTCAATCCAGGGTGAAATGGGTGCTGCCATGCTCATTTATGCTCTAATATAATTTCCCTTTTCTATTTCTGAACTAAATAGTAATGGGAAACTCTGCTATACAAAGATTTAATGCCATGGAATGGAATATAACATATCCTAATCTGAAAATATAATCTACCTCCAACAGGTGCTTTTTTGCTGTTTCTTACAGACATCAACATCCCCTTGTAGTTTTAAAATATTCCATTTCACCATTATAAGTTTGCTACTGTGCTCCAGTAAGCCTTACTATCAGTTGGCATGTTGACACAGTTACTTATTAATTAATATACTTTGTCTCATGGAGTAATAGTATTAAGGTTTATTATCGGTACTGTAATATACAACTATAATTTTTCTGGGTTGCTTTTTGTATAAAGTTACATATGTTGAAGCATTTAAAATTTTCTTATGACATGTTTTTGTCATTTTTTTAAATGATTCTGAGGCATACTATAAGAGATATTTGTATATGAGTGTTTCATGACAGCTATCTATATAAATTCTGTAGTATCTTGTGTTTAGGTAGTATTTTTATATGTTATAAGTTTTGATTGCAAAAATCACTAGGTTATATACATTTAAGACAAGGAGACAAAATGGTTATATTTTAAATTGACCAGTTTATTAGCAATGTAACAATTTCATGACATAGAGAGCCAGAGTCAGATGTCACTGTTCACTCCCATGCTCTCTGTGTCTTGTTCCTTGATCCCGCTGACGGAATTTCTTCTGTTATCATTGTCAATCCTGCACTGTAAGGCTCTCCGATCTGTGAAGGTCAGCAGCGCTATAGAGACAATAGGTCTATGGCAGTTTACGTACATCATCCCGGGTAGTGTGTTGGAAACTCTCCCTGTGTAATTCTGGGAATTAATTAAACAACCAACTTCTTGACTGCATTTTTAAAAGGTTATTTTTATAAATTTCTTTGTGAAATTTTAGAAACTCGTGAATTAGCATTTGAAACCCTTACCGGAGCTCTAACATCAAACCACAGCAATAGAGGCGGTTTGAACAAGACCCTCCAAAGTAGAATATGAATTTAGTTTTCTCACACTTGTGGGAAAAAATAAACATTTTTAGTATGTTGATAAATGTCCCTAAACAGTAGCTGCCTTTAAAGACATGAAAGGATCATTTATAATAAATCTTTATAGTGCAAGTTTTTCAAAAAGTACCCATTTGGATGTACATTTAAATTCATGGAAGTAAATTGTGACCAATCATTTTTAAAAGTGCTGATTTCTTTTGCTTGACCACATTTGGTTGTCATATGCAGGGTTAGAAGACTAATCAGTCCAAGTATGTTAACTCCAATGCAAGCTATTTCCCCTATGAGAAACTCTTGCTAATCCTTAACTTCTTCTACAATGTCTTACATCCCTTCATCTGTTTCCTTCGGCAATTTGCCCAGGTAATCAAAGTGATTATTTATATGTGGAAATACACCAAATGGTAGGCGCCCATGCCTCTCTAACATACATTTAAATTCACTTAGATTTCAAGAGGCAGACAGTGAGAGAACTCAGAGTTTGAAGATGGCCAAACACAAAGCAAATGCTACCATTCCGTCAGACAGCACTTGGAGGTTTAGGAATACAAGCACTTTGTAACGTCTTGCCATCTTTAAACTTTTTAGCTTCTAATATCCAGTCATCTAGCAAGGGCCTGGATAGTAATCTTCCTTAGGATTCTCAATTTCTAGAAAACCCTAAAATGTGGTGGGCTGCAGTCTGTGCTGCTCCTCCTTCCGGGCAGGGCATTTCTGTTGCTTGTTTGGGATTCACACTCTGAGGTCCACAGGTTGTCACCTGCGAGGTCAGTGAGTTTATGGCAGCAGAGCTGCAGCGGCTGCCTCACTTGGCTAATGAGGTCCTGCTGTCTGCTGCCCTTAACCACCGTGCCACTCACCAAGTCTAATGTTGGCAGTTTTCAGACCCAGGGCCATGTTTGGAGGGAGTGGGATTTGGCAGAATTCAATTTCTGCTGTCACCACAGCATCTTGGTGTGGAAAGGAACATCTGGGCAGGCTGTGGGGAAAAGATATTGTACAGCTTGACATAATTGAAGGGGACACATAGAGGGAGGAACAACCTCGTCTTTTATTTCTTGGAATACAGAGGACAACTTAAGATCTTATTTTATGTCCTTGAGTTCATTGTGCAGTTTCTTGTTGGAGATCTCTTCTTCCACAATTAAATATTAGCTTATTTACTTAAAAATTTCAAGGACCAAAAAATTCAAGAATTCACTGGCATTAACTCAGCTCCCCCAAGGAATGTCACCTTATGCCATCTCTCTTGTCTGTGCTTGTGTTAGGTCTTGTGACCATGAACATATCATAGTCATTCTCCCATACAATCGATCAATCGGTGATTGATGAGTATGTGTACACTTAAAGTTTTAGCTGTGCATTTTCTTTACCTGTGGCCTCAAATGCTGATTATCATTCGAAAGACCTGATATGTCTAGCAACTCTCCAGGTGAGATAAATGATATATCTAATTATATGTCACATATGTTATAGAGAATCTAAGGCAAGTAGATAAATGAATGTGATTGGGAAATCCTTAAAGACCACTTTTTCTCTCTTCATAATTTGTAACTGAAATTACTATTAATTTATTAAATGTTTCTCAGTGCTGAATTACTCAAGCTGAGAAATTTTTCCATAGTCTGTCTTAGATCTACTTTCTTCATATGTAGAAATAGCTTTGAGCATGGTCACAGAAAATGAAATAATTTATTATTGCAGGCTATGTGGTTTCTATCATAACCACATTCATAGAATTCTATGTTGATAGAGTCTATGAAACTATACAGAGAACAGCATCAGCCAGGGTGTGTTGTTGGCATTTTATCTCCTGATACTTGAATTGGAATTTTAGAAGACTTCGTCATAACACAAACTATCATTCTTTGATACTATCCCAGCTAAACTCACAAGATCCATAGAAATGGGGGTGGGATTGGGTTTGGCATAGAGGCCATGAATGAAGAGTACTAATGTACCCCTACCCAAACATGATATCAGAGCAAAACAAATTTTCCTAAGCTCCTCATATTTTTTGTGTTTTTGCATATGTGTGTGTGTGTGTGTGTGTGTATGTGTGCATGCATGTGTACCTGCATGTGTTTGCACACGTGTGCTTAGGCCTGTAGTTTGCTGTATGAAAGTGCCTCTCGTAGTTCCTCATTGCAGTATTAGATTGTTCATGGAGATTAGAGATATGCCTCAAGGTTCAGCTCAGTTCCTTCATATTGGAATCTTGCTGGGAAAAACGTAGAAACGGTGATTGACAAACCTGCAGGGAGAAGGTGGAACTAGAGAAGAGGAGAGAGTTAGGTCCTTTCCTAGTGACATTGCTTTCTATGCTTAGATAAAGTACATGCAGTGGTCTTACCTGCTGTATTTTGCGTGGCCTCAGAGTCATCTTGTCTGAGGTGAGAGTTCTGGGAGGTGGTTTTGGGGCAGTAGGAGAATGTGAGCACCAGACTGACTTTTGAAGATCACGGGAAACTTGACTTTCTATCTCCTTATCTAACCCCACCCCTTCCTCCAGCAAATCCTCAGAACTGCTACTTTTTCAGAATCGACTTTCAAAGTGTATTATTGAATAATTAAAGCATATAGTAAAAGTAAAAGTGATGTGACACAAGATATATCTTTCTATCAAATTCTGCTCCCACCTAGAGGAATAATGAGCATGAACTGGATATTTCTTACTCTCAAGGACGATGGGTTTCCTTCCGTTTTTATTATAAAAATTTGCGTGACTTTAATAGTCTCATACCATCTTCGAAGTCACATAAATTCTACCTTTAATATATAAACTTGGAAACCTGTCATCCTGGTTGTGTTTTCATAGGAGCTAAAGCATGAAACTGCTTGTGGGTATGTGAGACACTCTACACTTCACCCCGGGCTGCCAGGAACTTTTATTTGTCCTGTTAAATATTATATGTGAATTTAATAGTCAAAGCACTAAGTACTCTTTCCTTTGGGTTCAATGCCCTAGAGTGAATGTCAGAGAGTGAATTTTGGTTTTATGGAGCAGGATGTTCAGACGATTTTTCTTCCTCCTTCTAGACACTCTGATAAACACTTTTGACCCAATCTGAGCCAATTCCATTGGAAATTCACATTTTGTGCAGTAAAATTCCATTTTAATTTCATGCAGCAAAAGATCAGCTCCTCCTTGCACTAAAGAAAGTAATGTTGTCAAAGGAAGGGGCCCAGCATCAAGTCGGCCGCGTTAACACAAGATTTTCTCCCTTTAATCTACATTTCAGTATGATACCAGAATTAGTTAAACTTATCAGTGGCCTCCTCCTTCCAAGACAGTTTCTATCTGACAAGAAATGTCAACTGAAGAATGTGTGGCACAGGAGAAAGCCATTAAAAACCCTTGCCCTCTCGCCTCTGCGTTCCCACAGACAGCCTGGCAGGAACACACAAGCATCTCTAACCATCGTCTGTTGTCCCTGTTGCCCAACAGACTGTGGGGATAGGACTCAGAGTCGTTCACCTGGTTGACATTTCTTAAGACAAACACACTTAAGACTCTCTGATCCCTCTTGTCACCTGGTGTTATTTGGGACATTTCAAATAAATGCAGGAAAGAAAAGAAAAAGGTGAAATGAGAGTTTCCACACACCTGCACTCAGTTATGTGGTGGGCCCAGAGTGCAAATATCAGGTTTAACTTAAGTCTCAGAGGTCTTGGGAGTGGTAAGCACACGGATGCTGAGGTCCAGATTGGCTCCAGGTGGCTGGCTGGGGAAGAGAGGGGACAGGTGGTCCCTGGATTTGAATAAAATCTCCCAAATCTACCCAGAGTCCTTGACATTTCATACTGACGTTTCCTTTCTTCTCCTTTGCAGGGGAGCACTTACGCATCTGTCCTCAGGAATATACGTGCTGTACCACAGAGATGGAAGACAAGTTAAGCCAACAGAGCAAACTCGAGTTTGAAAACCTCGTAGAAGAGACAAGCCATTTTGTGCGTACCACGTTTGTGTCAAGGCACAAGAAATTTGATGGTAGGTGTAGCTGAGTGCCCTTCACTATGTTTCTGCTGTGTTTTTATATAAGGCTTTTGCTCTACCAGGAAAGACATTTTTATGAGAGATGGTTCCATTCCCTCTCCAACACGTATAGTATTTGTCTGTGTTTAGGAAAGACATGGACATTCTTGACAGTATAGTGTTTTATGGTAATGTCATGGGAAAAGACAATCTGACTGAACAAAGCTGTCATGTGCTTGTGTTCTGCCCGTGAGGTGGTTCAGCAGAGTAAATCACACCATTTCATTATTTGGGGGATCCAAATTCAAGTTTTCTTACACTTTAACTCACCTTCAGTTTTTCACTGGGAAGTTTCATTTGAAAAGTCTTGTCATTTATAATTATTTGCACTACTACATCCCTAAAAGGCTAGACTTGTCTCAATGACAGTGACATGGACTGCTTTGTTTTAGCATTTTCTATGCATTAATGTGACATACTTTCTACAGCAGGTGTGATGCATTTCTCAAAGGGTATCGACTCTCCTTTCATTTCCAGATCATAGATAAGCACTGTAGCAGGAAACTTAGAGAGTCTTATTAATAAAATCAAACCTGGGGTCAGTTATTGGGGTGAACACCGGAAGGTCAGAGAGACAGAACAAGCCACAGCTAACCTCACCTGGCCAACTTCTCAGCTGGTCTTGTTTCCTCAGACTGGAAGCTTCTGTGTCCTCATCCCAATGGCTCTCAGCTGAACTGTGCTACTCAAAACCTAAAAGCTTAACCAGCCAAATGCTTCTAGTTTCTGGTCCTCACGCCTCATATACCTTTCTGCTTTCTACCTCCACTCCGTGGGATTAAAGGCTCGCTTTCTGGGATTAAAGGCGTGTGTCACCATGCCTGGCCGTTTCCAATGTGGCCATGAACTCACAGAGATCCAGAGGGATTTCTACCTCTGGAGTGCTAGGATTAAAGGTGTGAGTGCCACCATTTTCTAGTCTCTGTATCTAGTGGCTGTTCTGTCTCTGACCCCAGATAAGTTTATTAGGGTGCACAATATTTTGGGGAACACAATACCACTACAAAGCACCATTATTTCCATATTTTAATAAATATTTTTTGTGTTAGAAAGCACAAAGAGGGAGGACAATTATCAGTATCATTTCAGCTTGAATTTTCTGACCCGGGCCTCAAAATTTTAACAGTGTCAGTATGATAGCAGGTATGTATAGTTCTTACTGGTCTAAGAAATGAATGAACTGTGCTATGATTCATTGTGAACCAGACTTGCAAGTTATGCAAGACTTCCTTATTCTCCACTGGACATGTTCCCCTGCCCGAGGCCAACAAGAGCCTATTCATTTTTTTCTCACCCTCTTCAGTCAGAGAACCGCAGATCCACTTAGAAAAGACTTGCCAATGCTTTCATTTGTTTCTCTGTAGTAAGTAAAACAGCCTATTTCATGGTTGCTCTAAACTATTCGTGTAACACTCTTGTCTTTCAAATTTCTTCTCCAAGTTATAAAAGGGTGGGTGCATGGATGTACTCAGGATGATGCTACATTTTCCATGCTGGTGATGCTTCATCTTTTCTGCAAGGCTGTTCCAGTGCCTTCACAGTCTTCTCTCTTGCTTTGCATATAAAGTTATCTATGGCTGTATGTGGAAGCAACTCCTTATTTAAGTGTGATGCTGTGAACGTTTTTCTCTTGAATCTAATGAGGGAGCACTGGGAGGTTGCCCTTGATTGACAGATTACAAGTCCAGCAGCATTCGGGATCCTCTGGGTTTAGGTGGCCACAATTTATCATTACACATTGAGACATCTTGTCTTTGATTGCAGAGAGCAGCTAGGTGTGAGCTGCTGCTGCTTTCTTTTCGTCTTGTATTTGGAAACTAATTCTAACTCATTTACAAAGCTGTTCTCTCAAATGATGCTGGTAATTCTGGGACAGAATTCTGAGGCTGGAATATATCTTTCTCATAAGAAAAAATATTAGATGGCAACAAGTTTCATGAAAGGCTTGCTATTTCTTTTTATAGAGAAGGAAAGCTATTCAACTAGACCAAGCCAGATACTTCTGGTATTATATAAATTAATCTTATATTAATTAATCTTACATCTCACTTGTCTTAATTAAGAAGCCCACTTTTAATACAGGTGAGTTTTAAATTGTGTTAGTACACTTTGGGATCTGTTGTCAATCAGTGTGACAAGGACATTGATTTTGCTAGGATTCTATCTGACATGGTAGATGATGCTCTCTTTTCTCGAAGGTGTGTTAGATTGCCATGGGAGAGAAGTCAAGATATTGTTAAAGCCATTTCACCAGATTTTAAACAAAACCTAAATGTGATCTGGATGAGTATGATCTTGAAAAGCTTATTCTTAAAAATAAGTATAAAAGTATATGTACAGGATAGTTACAATAATGATTTCTACCTTTCCTTAGGTCTATTCTGTTATACAGTTGTATGATCTATCTTCTTAGACCATAAAGGTGACCCTGCCAGTAAACCTTCACAAAAGAGGGAACATTCAGTGAAACCCTGGGTATAGTGCATACTAGGCAAGTACATGTGCCTCTGAGTCATATCCCAGGTCTTTGCCCCCCCCAATCTCCTCCTGTGCTGACCCTTTCTCCCTCTCTTTTTTAAGAAAATTCACTCCCTCAAGGCATTTCCTGGTGACTCTAAGTGGTTGTGACCACAGAAGAATTATTTATCTGGGATAAGCTGTGGAATGTTACCTTCTGGGTTTTATTTTCTCCCATAAAATCAATGTTCCTATGAATATCTTAGAGTTTAGTTTTAGGGACTCTTAATTTTGTGAGTCCTTTTGCATTATCACTGAAGTCTGGCATCCAAAACATTCCATTAAAGAGTCTGCCCATGGTCCACTCTCTCAGAAGTCTAGCCTTCACATTTATAATTTACTTGTCTTTGTTAGCTATGTTTCTCAATAAGAAACAAACTACCATTTAATTTATATCTGAAAACATTGATTCCTTGGCTCAGTAAGGATAACATCAAGTTCACTTGCATGTGGTATATGTGATTCAATCCATAGTACATACAGAGACTGACATCAGTCACAGTGCAGAATAGTCTCTTATTGTGGCTTCTGTGTTATTTAGAAATGACTTCTTTCCATTTTGTCTTTCCCACCACCACCCAATCATTGTGATTCTGTAGGAATTTGAAACTTAGCATAACACCACATACTAGTATGGCTAAATATTTTTCTCAGTTGTTAATTAATATTCTGGGTAATACTTCGAGGATACTGTTGTGTGTAATTGTAAATAGTTACTGGTGGGAATATAACCATGAATACATTTGCACTCTTTGATAACTTTCTCTCAAGGTTTGCTTGAAGTCCCATTAACCTAATTATCTGAAAGACAAGGAATATATGTTACCACATATAGAAATTTTATTCTTTGGCAGATAATTATCTGAGCAGACATTTTTCTTTAGGGATAAAAATTAGAAGTCAGCTGGGGTCTAGTCACTTCAAAGCTCAATAGAGCTGCTCTCAACATGCTTTGTTAGTAAGCCTACATTTCTGTTCCTTTCCATACGTTAAAATTGCACACAGAAACCAGCCAAGGGTACTTAGCTATGTTCACAACTTTATTTCCTTACGTCTAACCTTTGTCTGCTATATAACTCTGAAGTTCAAAAACAAGCAACAAGGTTATGTAAAAATGTCAACAGGGAGAGCACTATCCTTGTGTATTCACTCATATTGATGGGATTCTGTGTTCAGTGACCACTGGGTCTGTCCAACCTGCATTTGTGTCCATGTCTTCACTGCTTTTATTCTTCTATGTGACTTGTTTGTTAGGGTCCACTTAGCAAGCCTTCTGAGAGTGGTAACAGGCGCCAGAGGCAACATATGGCCTCATTCTCCACACTGTAAGATGCTCACCCCAATCATCAGGGGTAAGCTGAAATGCAGTCACACACCTATCAAGTGGCAGAGTCAGAATTCTGTCCGGAGCTCAGCATTCTTTCTTGTTTACTGCCTTCTGCTACCTCTACCCCAAAATCTAGTTTCCATATGTGCTGACATTTCATGGTAACAAAATAGCTATGCCTCTCTCCTATGCCTGTCCTGTCCTGATTATGGTGGTGAGAAAGTAGAAATGATTTTCAGGAAAAAGAGAAAAGGAGTTAGAGGTATTTTTAATCCAAAAAAAAAATGGAAAGAAAGAAAATTACTCACCTAAATATAGTTCAACTCTCCGAGGAGCTGGGAGCCTCCAGAGGGGAGATGCCTTGCCAAGTTTCCATCAAGGAGGAGGAAACCAAGATTGTAACCTGATACCTACATCAGTCATATAAATAGCAGCATGTAGGAAATCAATATTTAGTTTCTTTTGAGGAGACACTGGCAAAACTTTACTGCTGCTTCTTTAACAAAACAATTGCAATAATTGTGCACTTAGAATCTAGCCACAATTTTGGAATAGACAGAGACAGTATTCAGTTGACCAAAATGGTTCCAAACTTTAAAAGATTACAAAAACAACATTACTGACTCAATGGAGGCATGTTGTGTATCTTCCTTAGCTTATGCAACCAGCTGGATTCTATCATAGTGTAGGTAGTTGAACTCCTTCCCTAGAAATGCCTGTGTGACATAGATTATTCAGAAATAGAATATTTTTCTTGAATTGACATATTTCTCAACCTGAAACTTACTTACAGTTTGAACTTTCTATGAAGGTTTTTTGTTTGTTGTTGTTTAGTATTTTCTTCTTGATCTTATTATTGAACTTTTCTTCCTGATTCTTATTTATGTATTTTAATGATATACATTTGTCCAGAGTTTTGGCACCAAGCACATTTTTTAAAAGCAAACTAAAAACAAAAGAATAGTAATTTCCATTCTTATGCAGAACGTATTCTATAGAAACACCCTCAGAATACCCATTGCAATGAAAGCAGAAATTATTTATGTACCGAGGTGTAGTATTTTCATAGTGCAAGTCTGCTCATGCTTCCTTTTAAAATATCATTTCTCAT